TTTCCAGACCTGCAGTGGGCCTATCCCACTCATTCCCACTGCAACCTGGCTCCCTTGGAAATGCTAAGGCACTCCATCCCTTAGGCTGCCATGACACTTTAAACAGGCCTTTCATTTGTGTTTGGGAAGGGAGAGAAGAAACTGGAGGCTTGGAAGAAGCTACCTACAGTCTTTCAGCTCTAACCTTTCTTTGTAAGGATCACTAAAAGGAAAAGAGAGTGGAAGTGAGAAGACAGTGCCCATGCCTGTCCGTCTGTTCTAACTTATCCTGGCTTCCCGACTGCCCTGGGGCTAAGCTTCTCACCACATGTTGTGCAGTTCTGCCTGACTTCTCTTCAGCATTGTCCATGGGGTTTTCTCCCAGTCTCAGCTCCAGCCACACTGGTTTTCATTCTCTTCCTGAAATGGGTCACATTTGTTCATTCTTCAGGTCTTTGCAGAAGTTGGGCATTCTACCAGCAATGTTCTCATTCTCCTCTTCCTTTCTGAAACCCCAGACTTTCACATTCATTTTATGCACTTGGCCCCCAAAAGCTCACTTTACATGTCACTTCCTCAGGAAAGCCTTCTCTGCACAAGGCCCCTTGATACACGCTTGCAACCCACCAGCCTAGTACTCTGTACAGTCTTGACTCCACTTATTCATGTGATTGTTTCATTAATAATGTCTTCTCCATAAGTCTGTGAACTCCATAAAGATAAAGACCATATCCACTTGTCATACTGTTCACTCTTCAGGGTATAACGCAGTCTTAGCATACAGTGGGGGCACAAAGATACTTAATGAATGAATGACCAGCAATTCCAGCTCCACAGGTCTCCTGCAAGGAGAACAGTGACATCTAGTGACCACTTTCACACTCTTGGGATTCTCTGATCACACACCACTAATTGGCCTCAGAAAGACCTCACTGGATTTCCAATAAATTGAATATTTCAATGATGCTGAGAGAACCTGGCATGGAATCCAGACATAGGGGAATCTGGCTCCTGCACAAACAGGAAAGGCACCACCAGCCTATCTATTGTTATGCATGTGCCAAGAACACATTGCAAAAGTTCCGTGGCTTGGCTTGTAGTGTGTCACATTGCAGATGAGGACAGTGTGGCCCAGAAAGGCCGTCACTGGGGCGAGTTCACAGAGCAGTAAACAGGGATATTCATAGGCTCATTCATCAAGTCCCAGAAGGCCAGTCACACACAGCTACATCCTCACTGATACAACACTAGTCGAGCCACTAGGTATTTTTATTTATTTGTGTTTTGGAGACTGTGTCTCATTCGGTTGCCCGGGTTGAAGTGCAGTGGCACAATCATAGCTCACTGAAGTTTTGACTCCCTCCTTGAGTGCTTAATGTGCTCAAGCGATCCTCCCACCTCAGTCTCCAGAGTGGCTGGGATGACAGGTGTGCACAACCACACCAGGCTCCTTTTTTTTTTTTTTTTTTTTTTTTTTTGAGACAGAGTCTCACTCTGTCACCCAGGCTGGAGTGCAATGGTGCAATCTGGGCTCGCTGGAACCTCCGCCTCCTAGATTCAAGCGATTCTCCTGCCTCAGTCTCCTGAGTAGCTGGGATTATAGGTGCATGCCACTACACCCAACTAATTTTTGTATTTTTAGTAGAGACGGAGTTTCACCATGTTGACCAGGCTGGTCTTGAACTCCTGACCTCATGATCAGCCTGTCTTGGCCTCCCAAATTGCTAGGATCACAGGCGCCAGCCACCACACCCAGTTTGTTTTTTTTTTTTTTTTTTTTTTTTTTTTTTATAAATGGGGGTCTCCCTATATTGTCCAGACTGGTCTTGAACCCACCAGACTCAAGCTATCCTCTTACCTCAGGCTCCCAAAGTGCTAGAATTACAGGCATGAACCACTACTCCTGGCCCTGTTCTTGTTATTTACTGGAATCTGCAACAGCCTCTTCATGGATCTCCTTGATTCTACTCTTACATCCTCATAGTCTATTCTGACCCTGCCGTTGGAGGTGTGGAGACATACACATATGTATTTTATTGTTGGTGTTTGGGGACCTCTGATGCACAGAATTGAATTATTTGCAATGTTCAGTTTAGGACTGAAGCTCATTGTTGAGCCATGCATGGGTAGGCTTTATTTATTTGTTCAGTTACCTAGTTAGTTTTAATAAACTTTTTAAACTTTAATGAACTCCCACAAATCTACCACCACCAACACCAGCTAGGGGCTGGACACAGTGGCTTACACCTGTAATTCCAGCACTTTGGGAGTCTGAGGCAGGTGGATTGCTTCAGGTCAGAAGTTCGAGATCAGCTTGGACAACATGGTGAAACCTTGTCTCTACTAAAAATACAAAAATTAGTCAGGCGTGGTGGTGGGCGCTTGTAATTCCAGCTACTCAGGAGGCTGAAACAGGAGAATTGTTCAAACCCAGGAGGCGGAGGTTGCAGTGAGCCAAGATCGCGCCACTACACTCCAGCCTGGGCAATAGGGCGAGACTCAGTCTCAAACAAACAAACAAAGAAACACCAGCTAGGAACTTGACTACTTACATGTAACATATGCTTCCTCATGCTATTACTTTACTTTTCCTGACTCAAGATAACCATCATCCTGACTCTTATGTTCATCACTTCCTTGCTTCTCTTTTTAAATCATATTTATTGCATCTGTATTTATTCCTAAAAGATAGTATATTTGAGGTGTAGGTGTGCTTTAACTTAAAGAAGGGAGGAAAGGGTGTTGTGCCCTATAAAATGTTTGGGGCCAGGCATGGTGGCTCACGCCTGTAATCCCAGCACTTTGGGAGGCCGAGGTGGGTGGATTACCTGAGGTTAGGAGTTCAAGATCAGCCTGACCAACATGGTGAAACTCCATCTCTACTAAAAGCACAAAAAATTAGCTCGGCATGGTGGCGGGTACCTGTAATCCCAGCTACTTGGGAGGCTGAGGCAGGAGAATCACTTGAACCCAGGAGGCAACAGTGAGCCGAGATTGCGCCATTGCACTCCAGCCTGGGCAACAAGAGCAAAACTCTGTCTCCAAAAAAAAAAAAACAAAAACAAAAACAAAAAGTTGGGGACTTACTTTCTTCAGTTAATAATATGTTCATTCATTTCATATTGACAGGTATCACTACTGCTCACTTATTTTGGTTTTTGTAGTATATTCTATCAAATATATATCCTACGCTTTATTTCACTGCTGTCCCATGGATGGGAATTTGGGTTTTTTACAGAGGCCTCCTTCTGCCACACAATCTAATCCCAACAGCCTCCTGCCAATAATCATGCATCATCATCATCTCACGGCCCGCAGGATAGGGTCGAAATTCCACAATCTGGCTTATGATATTGTGGAAATGCTCAGGACTCATTTTGTTTCTCCCTCTGTCCTTGGTCTTAGTCATGGGACATTTTTTTTGGTCTTTGTACAAACAATGTTCTTTTCTTCCTTAGGTCCTCTACCTGACACTTTCCCTACCTCCTTACTCCCACACCTTGTCTTTCCTCTATGAAGCTCTGTATGAACACTTAACACCCTCCAGCACTTAGCCAAGAAGGATGCTGTGGGAGGGGCACAGGATTCATAGAGTTCCACTCAACTTAGTCAGTGGTCTACCACTGGAGGCCCAGGGCTATCTAGGAGCTGTTGTAGAGGGAGGAGTGGGGATCAAATGGGAGATACTTTATCTACCTTCCTCTGCCTCATTGAACTAGTGGCATCACTATTCCTGATTTTATGGATTGAGTTTCAAGAAAGATTGCATTTGGAAAAAAAAAAAAAAAATCCATAAAGATAAGTTTGCAAACCAGTGAACCAATAATTCATAAGTCCCCTCAAGCCCTGCCATTCTATAATTAAAAGTGAGAGAACCAAAGAGAAAAGAGGAGCAATAATTTCAAGGCTAAGTATATAAACTCTGGAGCAGACCAACTTTGAGTAAATCACTTAATATCTTTGAGGTTTCCTCAGCTGTAAAATGGGTATGATATTAAAAAGAACCAAATGAAATTGCCATTTTATAAGTAAAAAATGGCCAAATGTCAGCAATTTCATATGAATCGAACCAATATATGTAAGTAAATCACAGATCTGGAGGGCAGAGTAAATGAGATAATGCAAGTATTGTACTGAGGTAGATACTGCTAGATTTTCACCAAACCCATATCTTTTCCGAGGCACACAGGTAAAATCCATTTCCCTGTCTTCATTTCAGACAGGTATGGACGATGGCTGAGTTCTAATGAATAGAATGGACGAGAGGTAAAATGACACTTGCCACTTTCAGGCTTGGCCTATTTAAACCTATGATGTGCAACCCTCCCTGTTCTTTCTCCTTCCACAGCAATTATGGAAGCATCAGGTCAACGCAGCACACAAGGAACAGGCTGAGCCCATGCATGACCTTTTTTTTTTTTTTTTTTTTTGGAGACCAAGTCTCACTCTGTTACCCAGGTTGGAGTGCAATGGCGCGATCTCGGCTCACTGCAACCTCTGCCTCCCAGGTTTAAGCAATTCTCCTGCCTCAGCCACCCAAAGTAGCTGGGATTACAGATGCCTGCAACCACACCTGGTGAATTTTTGTGTTTTTAGTAGAGATGGGGTTTCACCATGTTGGCCAGGCTGCACTCAAACTCCTGACCTCAGGTGATCCACCCACATTGGCCTCCCAAAGTGTTGGGATTACAGGCATGAACCACCGCGCCCAGCCTGCACTACTTCTCATAAAGTCACCCATCAATCAAAAACATTTATTTGGGATGCTGCACAAACAAACAAACAAAAACCTTGATTATATTAAGCCACTGAGATTTAAGGGTTTATTGTTTATAACAACTAGTATTGTCAAACTATGTAAGTACTTAGAACATGGTAAGGAATCAATAAATGTCGGTAATCACCATGATGATGATATGATGATGATCATGATGACAATCCCCCTGGACAAAGGGTCCACAGGGGCAGGAGGTAGGAGGGCTGGTCAAGTCTGACTGAGTGGCTGGGCCAGGGAAGCTTACCTCCTTTGTGCCGTTGTCTTGGATGAGGGTATAAAGTGGCACCACACGGTTGATTTCCAGCAGCACTGGTGTGGGGCTCAGCTGCTCCTTGCCTGGCCGGCGGCAAAGGTGACAGGTAGATGGACAGCGCCCCTTCTCTTCACAGCGAATCTCCACACCTGAAATGAGCTGGTCATCTGACAGCATCTGGGCTGTCAGCAAACCTGAGAGGTAGGTGATGAAGGGCATGGACTTGAGCTCCTTCTTGCTGCCCAGCTCTGTGGTCTCTGGAGAGGCACAAAACAGGAAAAGGGAAAGGTAAACTCAGGATTACTCAAAAGGCCAGACTCTTGACCTCACAAAATACAGATGCTAAGAAGCTGGTATCCATTGAAGAGGTAAAAAGATGATAGAGTGATTTATTCATGATGCCTTGGAAAGACTGCCAGAATGAGGGTTCAAAGGCCAAAATGGTGTATTGTCCTACCACTTACATTAAATATCCACTCACTTTGTCTGGCACTCATTTTTCCCATATGTAAAGTTGGGACCAGGCACAGCAATCCCAGCACTTTGGGAGGCCGAGGCAGGTGGACCACCTGAGGTCAAGAGTTTAAGACCAACCTGGCCAACATCGCTAAACCCCATATCTACTAAAAATACAAGCCGAGTATGGGGGTATGTACCTATAATCTCAACTACTCGGGAGGCTGAGGCAGGAGAATCACTTGAACCCAGGAAGCAGAGGTTGCAGTGAGCTGAGATTGTGCCACTGCACACCAACCTGGGCAAGAGAGTGAGACTCCATCTCAAAATAAATAAATAAATGAAAAATAAATGAATAAATAAAGTTGGTAGGTTGGGCTACATTGTTACTCAGTAATTGTGCAAGATATAAATATTCAAAGATATCTTTTAGACAACCAAAAATTCCTTTCTGTCGTCTGTCAACCTACAAAAAGTATATCCTTCCTTTAAAATTTATATCTAGTCCTATATTTTCCATGCAGCCCAATATTACAAGGAAAACACAAGCTTTGGATCAAGCCAACTTCATCTGAAATCTCATTTCTGCTTGAAAATACCTCCGCAACTTTAGGAAAATGTCAATATCCTGGTGACTCCAACGATAAATTCTGAGAAATGGAGTTAATAATACCAATGAAATCAGTTATGAATAGCAAATGAGAAAGAAGGAGGTAGGACTGCCTGGAAAAGACATTATTTCTCCTTTTTTTGTGTGTGTGTGCTTACCTGTTCCCTTGTTCACACTTTTCCTGCCTCTTTCTTCATGTGCACACTGAGATCTAATGCTTGCTTCATTCTGTGCCATCTCTCTTGATCTGTAAACCAGTATTTCCCACCTCTGTGCCTTTGCTCACTCTGTGCTGCTTTTCCCTTCGGCCTTTCCACATCTCTTCTATCTATCTATGCTCCATTCCAATGTTACTGTCTTTAGGGAATCATTCTTCATTGCCCCAGCCCTTCTTTTCTGAATAAGTGTTTCTACTTATGAGATCTTATTTAAGTTCATTTTCCCTTCCCATTTTCTGCTGACCTCTAAAACAATATTATCAACTCTTGGAGACCAGGGGCCATGGCTTCCATTCCTACCCACTTCCAGTGCCAAACATGGTGTGAGGGATGTATTTGATACTCAGTCAGACAGAGAGATTATAGAATGCTGAATGGCTACAGCTATATTCATGATCTAGTCTAGAGTCTCCAAAACTCTTCTGAGGAATCCTAGGGATCCTAGGAAGCACCACAGCAATTGATTGTACAGAAAAAGAGGGAAATTGAGCAGGCAGGGCTCTAAACTCTCATTTCTGTTTCAAACAGAGCAGTTTCACTTATATTTCTTTTATAGACTGGCCTTCTATACAAGATTTCATTTAAAAAAAAAGGGTTCTATGGCTATATCAAAAACCTTGAAGAAGCAAAGTGATTTGTACATCTGAGAGGGTTCCTTTTACATCACAGACTATGTGAATGGTATCCTCACAGATGTGCAATGCGTCATCTGAGCGGTAAAACATGGTAATTTTATACTAAGAGACGGAGCTTAATCCATCTGGCAGATTCAACGAAGCCTGGTAATGTCAAGGCAAGCTTCTGCCTCAGTGGAAATAGGGGCCCTGAGCCCTTATGTCAGGGAGAAAAAGGAGAGTTGTCTCTTGCTCTTGTTCTCGGCCTGTAGTGACACGCAGCTGATCTGGAAATGGACTTGCCAATTAGAAATACAAATAAACGCAGCCTTCATTCATTACTCTCTGGGCCCTCAGGCCTGGAATCTGGCCTCCACCTTTTCTGTCTGGCTGTCAGCAAATGCTTATGAGTATCAGATCAAAGGCTCTGGGGGAGGAAAACAAGGAAAATTCCAGTTAACCAATCCTTCACAGGGATTAAAGAAGGGTAGTTACTAAGACAAACAAAACAAGGGTGTAAGGAAGGCATCCCAGCAGCTAGAGACAGGATAGTCTTATATCCAGACCTTTCAAAAGAAGATGATGATGACTTTTCATAGACCAAAGGGACAGTTTTGAGGAAAGATGACTTCAAACTTGGGAGAGAATAGCCATTCGGGGAGAAGGTCAAGAGAGAGTCAGAGCAATGAGGACACTAGGGACTCATTAGCCCACACTCTGGCCTAGGTCAACAAACTATGGCCCATGGGCCAAATCCAGTCCCCTTCCAGCTTGTGTAAATAAAGTTTTATTGGAACACAGCCACCCCCATTCATTTATTTATTGTGAAAAGCCACAACGACAGAATTGAGTAGTTACAGCAAAGACTCTATAATCACAAAGCCTAAAAATATTAACTAACTTACCCTTTTCAGAAAAAGTTTGGCAACCCCTGCTCTTGACCTAGTTTATAGATGGGGAAACTGAGTTTCAGAGAAATGATCCAACCACACAGGAATATGGAAGTATGATGGATTAGGTAATGTAAAAATTGTGGAATCAAATGCATCATCAATATACTTAGATCATGCATCTCCAGGGAGAAAAAATAGACTGGGGCATCTTTTCTTCATATAATGGATTTCAAAAACTATTGAAAGAACACACTTTTATGCTGATCTAGTACAAATCTTCACATTTTACAAAAGAGAAAAGTGTGTCCCAAAGAAGGAAAATGACTTTCCAAGGTCACACAGTGAGTCAGTGATCCTTTCAGCACACAATCCCAGTTTTCTAATAACCAATTCATCATTTAAATGACTATCTCATGTTATCTCATATTTTAAAACACAGATGGCATGATCCCCATAGCACCTTGCTATGTGCACATAATTTCATTGAGAAGAAATATAACTTGGTGCTAAGAGTAAAAATCCCCTTGATCAAACAAACATTCACAGTCATTGGGTTAAAGATATAACTATCCATTTAACAACACAATAATCTATAGATCTTTGCTAGTCTGCTTCTGTTCAATAAATCTTCAGTTTTTTAAATCTATCATCCCTATTGGTGCAGTAAAAGCCCACAACCTTGGCTGAAAATTGTACCACAGTAGCAGTATAGAATTTACAGCTGAATTTAAGGGTTAATTTTGCCAAAGGAGGGCTATAATCTGGTCCAACTCCATTGAAACCTATGACCAAAATAAGGAGAGGGACTTATTTCTAAGTCTCATGCACTTGTATTAACAGTGACCCTTTTCTTAGAGACTGCGTCACGCCTAAGTTATGATCTAGATGAGAGTTAAGATGGAACACCATTAGCCATTCCATTAATTATTCCTCTGTAGACATTACAATTGCAAAAGCTAATTGCTTCTGTTTCAACCTTAACCTGTGGTTAAAGTCATCTATTCGAAAGGCAAATGTTATATTCTTCTCCTGCTTAAAACTCTTCCATTGCACTTCACTGCTCTTAGGTTAAAGACCAAAACCCTTAAGACAGCACATAGAAAATGTGGGATCTAGACAACATGCTGCCTCTCCAGTTGGATCTCTTATTCTGTTCCTCCTAGTTCAGCTACAATGGCTAAATTCCTTGCATATACCCTCTGCCCCTCTCAATCCTGTCACAGGCTCTTCTCTGTGCACAGAATTATTTCCCCCACCCCATCTCCAGCCCTGCATTTTCCAAGCTAACTTCCACTCATCCCTCAGGTCTTAGTTCAACTGCCTATTCCTCAGAAAAGCCTTCCCTGAATTCCTCATGCCACTAATGTATACTAAGATACACACACACACACACACACACACACACACACACACACACACACACAGGGTCTCTCTCTGTCACCTGGGTTGAAGTCAGTGGCACAATCTCAGCTCACTGCAATCTCTGCCTCCTGGGCTTAAGTAATCCCCCCACCTCAGCCTCCCAAGTAGCTGGGACCACAGACACACGCCACCACATCTGGCTAATGTTTTCTTGTTTTTTGGTTTTGTTGTTGTTGTTGTTGTTGTTGTTGTTTTGCATTTTTTGGTAAAGACAGCGTTTCACCATGTTGCCCAGGCTGGTCTTGAACTCCTGAGCTCAAGTAATCTGCCCACCTCAGCCTCCCAAAGTGCTGGGATTATAGACATGAGCCACCGCACCTGACCTATTAAGATTTCATATTACAGACCCTCAAAGCATCCTGTTCTCTGTATCACCTATTAACGTCTCAAGATTGTAAACTACATGAAGGAAAAGACAGCATCAGTTTTGCTGATCCCATATCCATCTTACACAGTACCTGGAACACAGCAGGCTTTCAAAAATATTTTAAATATTTGTTAAATATATAGTAAACATATATACCCTGTGCTGCCTTATCCAAGCATCGATGAACCTAAGAGCCAGAATTGGTAAATTACAAGGACGATAACTAATAAATGATTGTAGTCAATACACAACCTCTTCCCAAAGTAAAATTAGTGCTCTAATCAAAAGGTCAACAGATGAATAGCTGAGCACTTTTCCAGTTACTCTGACCCTCTCTAGGTTTTTATGTAGGCCCTTGCCATTAAGTGAATGGGAAAGTTAGGTTAAAATACGGTGTCTTTAACAGGCCAAGGAAAAAGAACATTTTTGAAGAGACTTATCCTCTGTTCACATTTCCCATCCCTCTGAACAATGCTTCCAAAATAGGATAATGTCTGGTTTCAAGCCCAATTCAGTTCCAATGACACTACAACCCATTCATTTGAGAACCTGCCAACTGAACTCTCTTTTTTCTCCTCCCAAATTCCTGCTGGGTATTATTTTGTTGCCACCAAAAAAAAAAAAAAAAA